GGGCCCCACAAGCCCGGCAGTGGTGCCTTGCGAGGGCCACCTGTGGCCCAAGGCCTCCCCCGAAACTGTTGTTGACAGATTCGGTCATTCTGTGTTTCGTGGTGGCACCAATAACGGGCATCAATATACAGATTGGGTCATTCTGTGTTTCGTGGTGGCACCAAAAACGGGCATCCATATACAGATTGCCAACCAATCTGCATATGCGGGGGACCCAAGCATATACAGGTTGCCAATTAATCTGTATACGGAGGGGAGGAAAGCCATATACATATTACCAACTAATCTGTATATTGGGGGACCCATGCCATATGCAGATTCCCTAATTCTGTAGATGGGGACCACCGTGGCCAACGCGTGCTCCTCATCTGTAGATGGAGCCCTTGGCCGCCAAGGGGGTGTTTCAGTGGCGGCGGAAGGGCGACCGGAGAGAAGGAGGAGGGGGGAGGGACACACAGACGGAGGAGCACAAGGGAGGGGGGGAGGTAAGAGGGAGGGGAGGGAAGGGAGGAGGGGGGGTAGGAGGGGGGGGGGGCAGGAATAGAGGGGGGTGGAGGGAGTAAAGGAGGGGAGTGAGGGGTGGGAGGGGGGATGGAAGGTAGGGATTCGTGGGATTGAGAGTAGGATGAAGGGAGAAGATCGGGATTGAGGGAGGGGGAGGGGAGTGGGAGGGGAGAGATGGGAGGATGTATGAAGGGAGGCATGGGTTGTGTTTGATGATGGGAGGTTTGGGGTGATGTAAGGTGGGGGGGTATGGGGTGTTAGGGTATGTGAGGAGGTGAGGAGGAGCCCAGGCGGGGTCCAGGTGGAGATCTTCAGGGTCCGACCCTTCATCGCCCCCCTCCCCCCACTCGCGTCCACCGATGCCCCTCCTTCCATCTCTTCCTCCACTTGCTTGCCGCGCTCCTCATCATTCTGCTCCCCCCCTGCTGCTGTTCCTCCGCCTGCCTATTTTTTGTTTGTTTGCGCGCAGTGCACCACAGACGTCGCGGAGTTGCGTCGCGCTTCGGCCGCTCGTGACAATGCGCAGCAACTCTGGTCGCCCATGGCAGGGCTGCAAACGGCCACCATGCGTGTACGCATGCCAACATGGCGGGGGCTGCCCTGCCGATGAAGCTGCCCGGCCAAGTCGCGGCGCAAACCGCCCGGGCCCGCGTGCGCGCGCGGGTGTATATTGGAGCGCTTGCCTGATCGCAATGCGCTTAACCACGCTGCGCGCGCCGACAAATAAACTTGGGCAGTGCAGGCAGCGAGGAAGCGCCTCGCGCACACCTCGCACATGTCCACAATCTTCACGAGCGGCTGTCGGCAAACAAATTCGCCGAACTTGTTTTTTGCGATGGGGGTTCGTGGAAGCTGTTGGAAGCAGATCCGGACATTCTGCTTTTCGTGTCGCCCCTTTCGGGGCCCTCTGCGGTGGCAGCCCCCTTGGGGCGCCCAACCGTCTCGTCGCGACCTTGGGGGTGTTCTTCGTGTGGAAGAGTGACGGCGTCAGGCAGAGACTGATATTCGATACTAGGGGTAGCAACGAGTTTTTCAACGCTCCCGAGTATTCTCAGCTGCCCACGGCTAGAGCATGGAACTCTTTATATGTGCCAGATCAATGCGAGCTCTCTTTGCGCCAGGCAGACGTTGACAATGCATTCTATCGTATCGGTCTGCCCGCAGGGATTGAAGATTATTTTGTCCTCCCTCCTGTCTCTTGTCGTCACCTCGAGGCACTTTGCCCGGGCAGCTCTGGGGAGCTTCGCGGGGTGGGGGAGCTCTCGCCCGCCCTGCGCGTGTTACCCATGGGCTGGTCTTGGTCTTTATACTTCTGTCAGTGTATGGTCGAACAAGCTGTTCTCGACTCCGGCCTCCCCCCCCCAGACTTGTCCAGGACAGACTGGCAGCCGCCGGCCTCGAGGAAGGGCCTCTCGCTGCCGTCTATGTCGACGGGGTCGCTTTCCTCGGGACCAGCGAAAAGTGCTGCTCGGACGGGTGTGCGTCCGCCGTCGAGCTCTTGGGATCCCGTGGTCTGGTTTGTAAGGGGATGGTCGGGGCGTCTGAACAGCAGTCTTTTACTGGCCTCACGTTCGAACGCAGCTCAGGAATCATTTCGCATTCGACCCGGCGCTTGTGGAAAATTCGCCTGGGGCTCTTGGAGCTCTGCCGTCAGGGCTGGTGCACCGGGGTCCAGCTGCGCCGGGTCCTGGGCCATTTAACCTGGGCCTTCCTGTTGAAACGTAAGCTTCTGTCTATCCTCAGCAGTGCCTTCCGTTTTTGTGAAATGGCCGGGGAGCAGCGGTGGCGTCTCTGGAGTTGCGTGACTCGGGAGCTGCGGATCGCGGCAGCACTTCTGCCGCTCGCCGCTGTCGACACCAAGAGGCCGTTCGACCCGTGCGCGATGGCCTCCGACGCCTCCGGGGCCACCGAGTTCGACTTCGGGGGTTTCGGCGTCTGCGAGCGGGCTTGGGACTCGGAGGCAGTTCGAGCCGTGGCCAGCCGTGCGGAGAAGTGGAGGCACTGCGTCGAGGATGCCATTTGCGCCCGGGAGCAGAGTCTCGGGCTGGCCCCTCAGGGCCCCTCCAAGCTTCGAAGTTCCCAAGTGAGAGCCCGCCGTGGGGTCACCGACTTCTTCCACATCGATGGGGAGCAGATCGGGGATTTCGACACCTGGTCCACCGTTTTGTTCGGCCGGTTCGCCTCGTCGGAGAATATCATGCGGGCGGAGGGGCGGGCCCTGGCGATGGGGGCCCGACACAAGCTACGAAACGTCAGCAGCTTCGGTCGCCGTCATCTGCTTCTGTGCGACAATATGTCTGTGGTCTTAGCTACGGGCAAGGGGCGTTCGACATCCCCACTGCTGAATCGAACATGTCAGGAGTTATTGTGTCTTTCTATTCTCTCAAATACTTCATTTGTGGTCCGATGGATTGCATCAGAGTTGAACCCTGCAGACGACCCCTCTCGCAGCCTCTCGGCCCGCGCAAGCGCCTGGAGGCGCGACCCACGCGGGCCAGCGTTCCGCGATGCTCCGGCGGCCTGGGCCAGGCCTGGAGGCACGGCCGGCGCGAGCCCTTCGGCCGGCACTGCTTTCGATCGTGAGCTCGAGCGGACCATCGTGCAGCGAGCCCGCGGACAGCTTGCAGCTCCGCTCGGGCTTTGTGGGCTCGGCGACGGCCTCGATCCCGAGGCCCGCCCCGCTGGCCTGGCGCGGTGCGACGTCGAGCCCATCGGCGACAGCGGTGACCGCGGTGGTGGCCGTGCCAGCTCGTCCACCTCGTCCAGTCGCTCGGGCAGTCCGGGCTCAGGGAGCCGCCGCAGCTGCTGCAGTTCGCGGCGGACGGACCGCTCTGCAGGCTCGTCGTGCGGCCCATCGGCGCCGCCTTCTGCCCGCAGCCTCCAGGGCTGCGGCAGAGGGCCTGACGTTCCTGCAGACCTCTCGAGCGGGGCACGGGACACAGCTGCAGCACCAGCGGGCCTACACCGACTTCCTGGACTGGAGCCGGGGGGAGAAGCTGAGGATCAGCACCGTGGCCGACTTAGACCGGGCCCTCGCCAGCTATCTGGATCACCTGTTCTTCGACGGTTGGAATCGGGACCAGGGCGAGAAGACCTTGGCGGCTGTCCTTTTCTTTCACCCGAGCCAGGGCTTGAAGCGGCCAGGGGCCCTGGAGGGCAGCCGAGCCGCACTCAAGGGTTTCAAGAAGATGGCTCCTGGCAAGACCCGCAGACCACTTCCCAAGCAGGGGGTCTTCGCGATCATCGGGGCCGGCGTGTTCTGCGGCTTGCTCGACTTCTGCCTCGGCCTCCTCGTCGCCTGGGACGCGTATATCAGGTTGCCCAGCGACCTGATTGGCATGGTGGGTGGGTCCTTGGTGGCGCCAGCTCGGCGGAGCCGGATCAACCGGTGGGCCATTCTGCTGTTCCCCGAGGAGTTGCCCGACCGGAGCCAGACGGGCCACTTCGACGAGGGGATGGTGCTCGAGTCGGAGGCCGTGCAGAGCG